ACTCTTCTTCCCTGGTGCCTTTCAAAAGTCAGAGCGAGAATGGGGTGCTTGACCTGGTCTGCTTATAAATGTAGGAATTGGCCACTTTGGATCAAAGGAATGAACAAAATGTTTTTGCCACAGCAAGCTGCCCCGAACCCAGCCAGATGGTACCAGCATCCCCGGAGAGCCAGCCTCGCCCATCTCCCAGCGCTTGCCCCCCAAGGTAGAATCCCTGGAGTCTCTCTACTTCACCCCCATCCCTGCTCGGGGTCAGGCCCCACTGGAGAGCAGCCTGGACTCCCTGGGGGACGGCTTCCTGGACTCAGGCCGGAAAACTCGCTCTGCTCGTCGGCGCACCACGCAAATCATCAACATCACCATGACCAAGGTCAGGCCGTTGGGAGTGGGGCTGCAGGGCAGTGCCCTTCCTTGCTCGTAAGGGCGTCTTTCCCATTGGGCCCTCACAACACCCTCCAGAGACGGGCAGGGCTGACTAGTCCGTATCTTACAGATGGAAAAGCTAAGACCCCAAGCAGTACAAGGATATGTGAGGCCTCTTTTGTAGGAAGGGGCAGGGCTAGACCTGGATGCCTCCTGGCTTGGAGGCACTGATCCTGTGCAAGCCGGAGGGAGAGGGAAGTCGCAGCCCCACCCCGGGCCTCCACGCCTCCGAGGTAGCTGCCGGCAGCTGCCATGCACTGTGGCCCCCGCAGAGGGCTGCTCGCCAGGCTGCGGGCTCTGACTGGCCCTTGTCTCCGTATCCTGAGGAGGTTGGGGGGTACGGCAGAGGTCCCCTCTTGTGTGTGGGTTGCCCTTGTTACCAGGAAGCTGGAGAACTACACGATGGGCAGGGTGCTGGCAGGCTTGGGTTGAAGGACGGCAGAAGCTGTGGGAGGAGCCTGATGGCCCCGAGAGACAAGCAGGGGACAAGCAAGCATTGCAGCCCCAGCTCAGCCCTTGCTAGCTGTGGCCTGGAGGTTGATCACTTATTTCCTTGCACTTGGATTCTAAAATGGTCTGCTACATACTCTGCCTTCTGCTACTACTCTGCACTGTCAGTAGGCAAGAGAAAATGAGGTCACCTCAGCACCTAGTGTAGGAATCTTAGTCCCCAAGCAGAGATCTTACACATGTGCAGCTAAGGATCCTGGGGCGGCGGGGGGGGGGGGGGCACGGGACGGGACACGACACACAGTGTGGTGCTGGGATGTCAGGCGCTCGGGGGAGGGGAACAGGCAGCCTCGGCATGGGTTCATGGGTTGTCAGGACCCCCCACCACTTTCATTCTCTCTTCCAGAAGCTAGACGTGGAAGAGCCGGATAGTGCCAATTCCTCCTTCTACAGCACACAGTCGGCCCCTGCCTCCCAGGCCGGCCCACGCGCCACCTCTTCTACCCAGTCTCTAGCTCGCCTGGGCTCCCCTGATGACGGCAACTCGGCTCTGCTCAGCCTGCCTGGCTACCGGCCTACCACTCGCAGCTCTGCTCGCCGCTCCCAGGCTGGGGTGTCCAGTGGGGCCCCTCCAGGTGAGGGGACCAGAGGGGTTTTACACACACAAAGATGAAGGATGAGACGGGGAGGAGATCCTGGCACAGGAAAGAGACAAGCTTTCAAAACCCCGAGGCTGGTTGCCTTCCGGCTCCTCGCCTGCCCCTCTTCCTTGCCGTCTCAGGGCCTTGCCTGTTGGTCCAGGGGCTCTGCTGGGCAGAGGGCGGGTATTCATCTCAGCCGGGGTGAATGGGAACTGCTCACAGGAGGCAGGATTGCCAGTGTGACAGCGACACTCAGCTCCTGTTACCCCATCTCGTGGTAAGGGGTGCCAGAAGAGCCTTGCTGGGCCAGTGTTCTTAGATTCCTGTTGAAGGCTTTTGCCCTCAGGACCCCTAGATCTCAATTCCTGGTCCTTAATTAGTGCCTCTAAGATGTCACAGCCTCTGCAGATGAGCTCTTTGAACCTCCCCAGGGGGAGAGCAGTGAGCCAGCCCCGGTGGTAAAAATGGCCCGTGAGCTCCACTCCTGGATCTGCAGCACCGAGCAGAGCAGGACTCTGGGGCCCTAGGCTTGAAGTAGGTCCACACACAGGGACAGGAGTGGCGGATGCAATGGTTGGCACGGCACCAGGACCAGGGAATGACCCGCTGCCACTCTCCTCACTCTTCCTGGCCTTCCAGCCCCCCTGCTCCCATCTCCCTGCTCTCTCTCCACAGGAAGGAACAGCTTCTACATGGGCACTTGCCAGGATGAACCAGAGCAGCTGGATGACTGGAACCGCATTGCGGAGTTGCAGCAGCGCAACCGGGTGTGCCCCCCACACTTGAAGACCTGCTACCCCCTGGAGTCCAGGGTGAGCTCGGGCCCCATGCTGGCTCCCCTCCTCCTCCCTTGGCTTACCCTAATACTACCCACTGGCCCTAGTGCCCTGGGTCTCTGGCCTGCTGCAGAGGGTGACGGTGTGCTTCCAGTGGGCTAGCTGGCACAGAGGGGCTCGGGGTGAAGTCCCCATGGGCAGGCCTGAGTGTGTGGAGGAGGTCTGTTCCGGTTTCCTCCTGTGGCCATCGTGTAGGGCAGGAGAGAAGACAACAGGAAGGGAGGCCTGCGGCCCACGGGAAGGCTTGAGCTGCTGAGCTACTGTACGTGCCAGGCCCATGAGTTGTTCTGGGGCAGTTGTGCCCCACTGACCACTCCTTCCACCCCACACAGCCTTCCCTGAGCCTGGCTACCATCACAGATGAGGAGATGAAAACTGGCGACCCCCGGGAGACCCTGCGCCGAGCCAGCATGCAGCCGGCCCAGATAGCTGAGGGCACGGGCATCACCACCCGGCAGCAGCGCAAACGGGTCTCCTCAGAGCCCCACCAGGGCCCTGGTACCCCCGAGGTAGGTGGCCCTGGCTCCTTTTTTATTCCATGTGTAGCTTGCCCAGGCCAAGCCCCACTACCCAAGTTTGAAAAATGGATTAATAGAGAGCCTTCACTCTCCAGGGGCTCAATGCAGGGACGGTTGGGAAGGGAGGCAGTGTTGACTTACAGGCCCCCTTGGCTCTGGGACACACGCCTGGCTCTGGATGTGAACCTCTCTTCCCCATAGTCTAAGAAGGCCACCAGCTGTTTCCCACGCCCCATGACTCCCCGGGACCGACACGAAGGGCGCAAACAGAGCACTACTGAGGCCCAGAAGAAAGCCGCTCCGGTTGTTAAGCAGGTCAATGTGGGGGTGGGGGGGTGGATATGACACAGACACCTGGGTGGCTCAGCCATTGAGTGCCTGCCTTCCGCCCTGGGATCAAGTCCCACATCAGGTTCCTTGCATGGAGCCTGCTTCTCCCTCATGTCTAGGTCTCTCATGAATTAAAAAAAAAAAAAATAGGTCAGTGCGGGAGGCTGGAGGGACCTTGGTGGCAGGGCATGAACGCAGCCCAGTCTGACAGCCCCTCCCTCCCCAACAGGCTGACCGCCGCCAGTCAATGGCTTTCAGCATCCTCAATACACCCAAGAAGCTCGGAAACAGCCTGCTGCGGAGGGGAGCCTCAAAGAAAGCCCTGTCCAAGGCCTCCCCCAACACCCGTGGCGGGACCCGCCGCTCTCCACGCATCGCCACCACTGCAGCCAGCGCCGCCACGGCGGCTGCCATCGCTGCTGCCACTGCCACCCCTCGGGCCAAGGGCAAGGTGGAGGCACTGATGGGGAAGGGAAGTGGGTGGCTGGACTCTTAGGAAAGTGGGTAGAAGTATGGCACACCCCCAGGCCACCCCTCGGGAGGTTTCCAAGGCAGGGCCCAGGCTGCTGGAGGTGGGCTAAGTGTGGGCACTTCCTGTCTTGGTTACCTGCTCGTGGAAGAGAGGAGACCCAAGGCTGTTTAGGCGCAGCCGGGATCCAATAACCTGCAAGTAGATGTGTCCAGGTCACCCCATGGAAGGGAAGGTAGTCAGGGGGCTTCAGGAGCTAAAAGAGGCCTCCTGCAGCCATCCGGTACAGGCTGGTATCACGAGTTTTCAGCCAAGTGATTGTGTTTCTCTCTTTTAGGCAAAGCACTAAAGGGCCAGGACCAGTGAGAGGCCCCACCTGTGTCCTCAATGCCGACCTCGCCTGGTCCTTTACCTTCTGCTGTCCCTTTCAGTGCCTTCTCTCAGCTCCCAGGCCAAAAGTGGCCAAACCCGTAGAGACAGTGATGCCTGCCCACACCCCGGCCTGGTACCTGGATCTTCATTGGAGCCTTCACTAGGTGAACAGATGTGTCCTCAGAGTCGGCTCCGGAGGCCTGGAGAGTCTAGGTCTTCTCCCTACCTTGCCTCATGTTTTCATAAAGCAAAGTCGCTTGTCCATCACAACCAGACTTGAGGCCGGCTTTGAGCGGCTGGGCCCGAGGGCCGAGTCAGTCCTCCTCAGCCTCTGGATTCACAAGGGACCATTGGAGGAGCAGGCCCCGGTCCCTGCTGCTCCTGGTACCCGAATCTAGCAGGGCCCTTTGCTTTTTGAAAAGTCCAGGACTTGGCATTGACCTAGTGGGTGCACCCAGAGGTTCTCCCATCCACCAAAAGGCTCAGGTGCCCAGAGATGCTCTTTTCCAGAACAGATGGGTCCCATGCCTGTGTGTGGCAGCAGGGTGGGGTCGGGGGCAGCCTTTAGCTGCCGCTTATCCCCCACTTTCCCCAGACTTCTACTGGGGTGGGATTTGGAGTGATGGGAAGGTTTTTAAGGGCCAGGGATGGATCTTTTCTAAATGTTATTACTTGTAAATAAAGTCTATTTTTCTCCCTTAAGTGCTGTCTGAGTCTATGGGGGAAGGGGAAATGTAGGCTCTTTAGAGCACAAGTTTTCCAGACTACCTACCTTCTCTCCAATCCTTTCTCCTGGTCTTTCTGGGGCACCAGGATCTTTCCACACTTTTTCTCTTTTGAAGGCTGGTATCCCCTGGTTTTTAGCCTTTAGCTTGAGTAACAGTCCCTCTTCCCACACTCCCTCCTAGAAGGAGCCAAGTTCTGTAAGTGGAATGATGGCTTAAATGACAGAGCAGATGCCTTCATTGACAAACCATTTATGCATGTCCCTGTGGGCCCTGCTGGGTGTGACAGAGACACAGCTGGGGACCAGACACAGCGTTCACCCCTGTCCCTTAGTGGGGACAGTGCATTAGAAGGAAAAAGGAAGAATACAACATGAAGGCAATGCCGGAGGAGGCCTGAGCTATGAGAGCATGGAGACCTCAGTGACGATGTGACGACTCAATTAGGCTTCAGAATTTCTCCGTCGTGATGAGGCGGGAGGGGGCTGGAGGTGGGCTTCTTGGGTAGAACGTGCCACAGTCTCCAGCCCAGCCTGGGGAAGAGAAGGCAGACAAGGGTCAGCGCCAAGGGTGGCTGACCTCTCGTCACCTTCCTCCAAGCCATGCCTCCCCTGCCCGAGTCCTGAACTCCACGGTGGACATTAGCTGGAGGCCACTCTGGGCAGAGCCCACCCTTTCCTCCCCATACTGCTCCTGCTGTCCGTGGAAACCTTCCCTCAGTTTTCTCACCCAGAGCTGGGCCAGGACAACATGCTCCTGGGCAGTGTGCGCGGGATCAGCAAAGACACAAGAGAAGTCGGTGTTGCGCAGGGTGGGGCTCAGCTCCTCTAGCACCAGAGTCCTCCGCAGCTGGGTGTGTTCACCCCTGGACTCCCTGCTAAAGAGGAGTGAAGACCATGAGAGGATGGCAGAAGAAGCCCTTCTCCCCCGCCCCCCTCCAACCATGTTGGCTGACCCCCCCACTGCACTCCTCACCTGGTGCTGCCCTCCCTCAGCCGACCTGGGAGGTGCTCGATGAAGGAGCCATTGCCCATCCAGAAGAGGATGCTGAAGGGGTAGCGGCTGCAGGCAGTACAGGACAAGGTCAGCATTCCATCTAAAGACACGTGTGGCTGTTAGCTCCCCTCTGCCGTGCTGCCCTGCCCCCAAGTCCCCCAGTCCCCACAATTCAGGAACCCAGAGTGCTGCTGTACGCACCACCCAGGTGGGGAAGTCCATTAATGGGGAAGTGCACTTGTCTACAAGGGAGGCCCAAGGCTGAACAAAAGGGATCTAGGGATGGGTCCTTGGTTCAGGTGAGGACTCCTGAGCCTGTTTCTTCAGGATGGCCTTTTCTAGTGCTCACCATTGGTGACTAAGAGCCCTGGCCAAGGAGGCGGCAGCAGGAGGCCACTGCTCTTCTGAGGTGGCCAGCGAGTGAGAGGGCTGGAGACTGGAGTGGGGGTGGCAAGGCGGGCCTTGTAACGTATTGCAGTCAAGGCCCTGGGAGCCCTCTGACCATCCTTGTGTCTGAACTCTTTCCATCCCACCAGATAGGGAACATCTCGGGAGCTGGGCCCTGCACCCACACTCACTCCCGGAGGGAACATGCCGAGTGCTCTAGCAAGCTGGCCTGGCTGGTGGGGCTACATGGCAGTAGGTGGGGTAGGGGGAAGCTCGGGAATCAACCCCACCCTTGGACTCTCTGTGCCCCAAACCCACCCCTGCCCACTATGTCCTTTGGGGCTTCCATCAGAATTGCTCCTTACTCAGTGGGACTTCCACTTCTGGCCCGGTCACCTCCAGTGCTGGGCACTGCTTAGCTGTCAGGAGCCAGGAGGGGCAGGAGTCCTTTGTGATCCCAGCTGAGGCAGCGGCAGTGGCCTGAGGTACAGGTGTGGCTCCAGCCAGGTGACAGAACATGTGCACACACAAAAGCAGGACCCGCAAAGGGCTGGGATCTGAGGGCAGGACACAAAGGCCAGGGCTGTCTGACTGCCAGGAATGCTCAACATCCTGGCCTGGACACTCTCTGGCGCAGAGATACCTGGGCTCTGCACGGGGAATCAGAGGAGCAGAAGGGTTCCTCAGGCCCCGCATGTTGGAATGGAGCGCAGGGAGACTTTGGGACTGGAGCCAGAACCACAGCATCTGGACACAGGCTGAAAGCCGTAACAGCAGAATGGAGTTCCCTGGGGGCGGGAGGCTCAGGGCCATCTGCACGGCTCCCTTCTGTTCTCAAATCCCACCCCCCACCCCCGACCCCCCGCCCATGCCAGCCCCAGGTCCCACCTGGTGTCCAGTTCTGTTTCATGGTCTTGACGGATGTGTCAAGAGCTGGTGTGCCTGGCTCTATTTATCTGTGACCACTTCCTCCTCTCTCGAGCTGGGGGCGGAAGAGAATGTAAATCAACCATTTATCTCACATCTCTGGCTTGCCTGGATCCCAGCCATTTGTATGGGCCTGTCCTTCCTGTATATTCCACAGCTCTTCCTGGGTCTGACCTCTAAATGGGCTGCCAGGCACTGCTACTTTGCTCCAGGCATCCAGCAAAGGCTGGGGCTTTACGTACTTAGCAACAAAGCTAAAGACCATCTAGTGACAGTCTTTCCCCACCCTACTAGCTCTTAGTACCATTAACATGCTGATTATGAGTCCACCCTAACTAACCCCTTCATTATAGGGATGAAGAAAGGGACCCAGAGAGGGGCCAGGGACACTACTACAAAGAGAGGCAAAGCCGGCTTTGCTGGAGCTGGTTCTGGGAAGGGCAGGATTAGTGAAGTCCTGCTGGGAAAGCACTGCCCCCGCCCCCCCCCCCCCCCCCCCCCCCCCCCCCGCCATTTCACTTTCGCTTTGTTTTTTTTTTAACTGGGAAATCTAAAGCAGGCTCTGAGTAACAAGTTACACAAGCAAGATGCCAGCCTGTACACTGCACTTCTTCTGGAACCAAAATTCATGGTGGCCTGGAATCTTCCTGCCCCCTCGGCTTTACCCTCCCAGGGATACAGATGGTATGAACTCATGAAGAGTCTCTCACAGGTGGATTCTTCTGTCCCAGCCAAGGGTTAGAACTTTGGCATCCACCTTTGCTCTTCAGAACCAGCCCTTGCTTCTACATGAGCAGGCCTCATGTTCTTTCACATTCACACCAATATTCAAGGGGTCAACTCTCCTAGTTACTGGAGACCCCAAGTTGGATCATTTTGACCATTTCAGGGTCACATCAGTCTGTCATCCTGGCCTTTCTCTGGCTTGCTCTGGCTTTCTCTGGCTTGCTCTGGCTTTCTCTCCCTCCAACCCCCATCCACCCATCACCCCTGCACAGCCTTCTCGCTTATCTCATCCCAGCCCCTTGGCCAGAGCTATAGGTCTAGGTTCACTAGGAAGTCTAGACCTCTCCCTACCTGGCTCTCGAGAAGCCCTGAGGAGCCCTCTTTTTCAGAATCCCCATTCTTGAAGCTCCACTCAGTCCGGCTGTGTTCGGCCCCGCGTAAGCCATGCCTCAGGAACTATGCTGACAGCACCCTCCGGCCTTGTGTGCAGAAACGTCTCAGAACCAGGCTGAGGACTTGAACACCAGCTGGAGCACTGGCCCTAAAAGAGGAGAGGGCACTTCCCAGGGAGGAGAGGGAGCAAGCAGCCTAGAACTGGCACCGGCAGCAACAGAGCTATACAAATGCACCAGTCTGGTAGATGATGGGACAAATGGAGCTGGGGCTGCAGCAGGGCCAGCACTAGGGGAAGGTAGTAAGGCACCTGGGATGCAAAGCCAGAAGAGGCATGCACTCACTATCAGGGTCGTGCCAGTGTCTATGGAGGCAGAAAGACCAGCACTGGTGACCCAGTCCACACACCGATCAAACATGAAGAACAAGACCAAGTGTCCGAGGTCTGTGGTCTCTGGAATCACAGGGATGGAATTGCTGGGGACAAAGCCAGGGAGCCAGGGAGGAGATGGGGAGCCATCTCCCATCTCCTCCAGGGAGGAGCCAGGAAGATGGAACTAGGTTTGGAGGATGAATCATGAAGCTCCCCCACGGGAGTGCCAGTATCTCCAGCTCTTGGGTCAGGAGGTAAGGCTGCTTGGGGCTTCTGAGACACAGTCTTTTGGGAAATGGGATTAGGAGATGGGAGGGAGAGGAGACAGGACTCTACCTCAGAGTGGAACCAAGATAAGAGTTGGGCTGCTGGGAGGTCATGGGACTCAGGCTTGCTGAAGCATGAAAAGAGAGCCTTGGACAGCTGGGTCTTGGCTTTTCATGTGAGTCTGATGTGTAGGGATTGGGGGACAAGAGTGAAAGGATGATCCTGGACCCTACAACTGGTCCTCATTCCATTCTCTGAGCATAGGCCCACTGGTATAAGCAGTGGGGGACCATGAGAAGCCATAGCTGGATATGAGAAGCTGAAGTTGAGTGGCCCATGAGAAGGGGTGCCGTAGAAGGGCACTGACCTCAGGCGGTGAGGAGAGAGTCACCCAGTGATGCTCCAGTGCCCTTCTGCCACAGGACAGGAGCCTGGCATCCCACCATTCCCATGGGTAAGGGGCAGGGCCAACCACCCCTTGGATTCAGCTTTCAAATGGGAACAGTAAAAGGTAGCAAAGGCAAGGCATTCCCAGGGACCCCAGGGAAGAATAAAGCAAAATGGATGTCCAGCTTTCCAACCCAGCTCATAGAGCTTTATTCAGAATGGAGTGACAAGATCCTGCTTGGCTCTTGCTACACTTGAAAGGGCAGGGTCAGCTGGGCCATATTCCCCAGGAACCCAGTGCTGAAGGTCCATGTTTGTCCTCCCACTTCCTTCAAAACCCAGAGGGCCAGAGCTGGGGCCTACCTGGAACCTCTTTTTAAAACCCACACTTCCTGGGGCCTTGCCCTCTTTTCTTTCCACCCACCACCATCCCTGTTGCCAGGTCTGGGCAGGACCCAGGAACATGGATGCTGACTGAGGGATATTCCCTGGGCTGGGAATTCCCTAGCAGCTTCAAGGAACACTGACGACAAGGAGGAGTCATATCTGTCATAGTCCCACTGCCACACACGGATGAACACACACGCACTCTCACTCAGGCTTTAAGGGAAGGAAGTGATGTGGGAGAGCGTCCTTTGGCACTTGTCACTGCTTCCGGGCTGGACGGTCTGCTTGCACAAGAGGCCTCCAATCACTGCCACCAACAGTAGTCCCCAGGGCTCAACTACACATAGACTCTGCTCTTGGCTAGGGGCAGGTTACCCAAGCTGCTGTTTCGGTTGCCCCCAAATTCTCATTGAAACATGATGTCCCAGGGCTTCCCTCCCTGGAAAAGTCAGGACAAGGTTCCACTTGCCTCAATCAGTCTACAGGTCTTGGACAAGGAAGACAGTAAGATACAACACTGGTCCTGGGGCCCAGATGGGGAGGAGGGATAACACTTCACCTTGCCCTCACTGTGCATCTGCGGCGCCAGGCCGGGTCCGGGAGCTCTCCCACACTGAGTGAACCAGGCTGGAGCTCGACAGGCGACAGGCGGAAGAAAGGGCGGGGGGGGGGGGGGTGCAGGAAGGGCTGAGGCTTTCAGCCAGAGATGAGAAGTCTCCTTTAAACCAAAAATGTCGTGGCTCTGTTCCAGCCCTGCTCAGGCAAGGAGGGTGAGGCCTGGAAGAGTTGGGCAATTCCTATGCTCCACAATAAAAAAGGTTTTTAAATATATTCATCAAAATAGTTTTCTTTTAAAAAGCTCCCACTGCTGACAGCCCCACTGGCTGGCTCTCCATCAACTCCCTCCCCAGCCCGGGCACAGCCGAAGGTTCCTGAGTGGCCCAAGTGCCCCTTTTGAGTCTTTCCCACCCAGGAGGTCTTGGAGGGCAGGCAGGAGAGTGCCCTGAGGTCCATAGTGGGTGGATGCTCTTCTTCCTGACTATTCCAGGCCCAGGATGTAGTTGATGCCTTGTACCAGGCCAATGATGACAGGCTGCCAGGCTACCAAGTATCGAAGCCAATCCAGCAGTTGCCCGTACATGACATGAGGCCTCTCCCAGCTGTCAGTGCGTTAAAGAGGCTATGTGTCAGAGCTGCTAAGGCCGGGCTAGGGGACAGGTGAGAGGGTCTGCCCACGCTTGTAGACACTCCACAGAAATCAGCCTACCTACGGGGAGAGCAAGCCCTCACCAGCCTCTCCATGTTAGCAGGAAGGACTGAACCTAGAGAATCGGGGGGAGGTGAGGAGAGGGGGCCAGTGCAGAAGACAGGACAGACACAGGAGGAGTTTGGAGAGGCGAGACTAAGCTAAGACTGACATGTGGAGAGGGCCTCCCACATAATACCTTCTCAAAGATGGGCCCGTTGGCATGAATACACATTCTGAGACTGCTATAAATGCATCTCTGCCAATGGCTACAGGGAGGTGGACAGTGGGATAAGGTAACCCCAGAAGTTCTTGTAATATCCCAAATGGAAGGTTTTCTAGGTCAAGGAAGGGGTTCAGTCCAGGGACTGAGGCAGAAGGGAACAGTGAAGAGGCTAGTCACAGGGGGTAACCCTTGGCAGAGGTTCTAAGGAATCCCCACACACCACTAAACACCAGGCCCTACTGAGGAGAAGGGGCCCAGAGAGGAGTTCTCTTCTTTTCATTTAAATGCTAGGCAAGACATTTAGAGAGGGAGCCCGGGAATCCAGCTCTGGGGAAAGCACAGATTAAACCTCATGACACTGGGGGAACCCCTCCAAAAGCCTCAGAAAGTGCAGGCTGGCCCAGTCTCTGGGAGCTGCAGGGAAGCCCCAAGCCTCAGCTTCACCATGGAGTTATTACTTAACTGTTCCTAAATTAGACCCTAGAAGAACCAAGCAAGGAATCTTAAGGGGAGAGGCCAGAGCCTCCTGTTAAGGGGCTGTGGGAATGTGCTGAGAATGCAGTGCCCCTGCCCAGCCCAGCTAATGTCCAGGGGACAGGGAACCCTGGCACACAGGGCAGCTGGGACAAGGAGGGCAGAAACGTTGCCCCCTGGATCCCAAGGGAAGTGAAGGGGGAATCGGAGTAGTGGCTGAGCAATTTCTACAAGACCAGTGGTGAGGAGGAAGAGGAGGGTGCAGGAAAGCCGACTATGGAGGGCCAGCAGGGTACGGAGTAGTAGCCTGGAGGAGCAGTGGGGCCGTGTTGCAAGTGGATGGGGACAGGGAGTCCCTCAGGCCTCCCTGAACCCTGCAGGCCCTGCACAGGCACAGAGCTAGTCTCTAGCCCCACATCATAGGTAAGGCATTGACTCATTAGCTATGTGACCCTAAACAGGTTTTTCAACCTCTAAACCATTTCATTGTAAAATGAGGATAATATCACCAAGGTTATCAAATGAGATAATATGGGCAAAGTGCTTAAACACAGTGTAAGGCATACAGTAAGAAACAGTAAATGAGTTTCTATTGCTATTGATTTACCCTTAAGAGATCTAGAACTACGATGAGAATCTGAGCTGTGAGTCCTGCCCCATGTTCCACCCCCAACTTCCCTAGTCCACAGGCCAAATGGAATGGTGAGTTACGTACCAGACTGGGGGGAGGAGGAAGGGCCCTGGGAGGACTCAAATGCAGAATGGCACTGGCCTGGACTTTTTCCCATTGCCCATTCTCAACAAGAATACAAACAAAGGATACGGGTTGCTGAACATCCTTTTGAGGTCTACCTTCTCTTTGCAGTAGGGACACGTCTGCTTCTTTCCCACAATGCACCAGCCGCGGATGCAGAACTCGTGGAATCTGAGCACCACTGGTCAAGGGAAATGGTGGGCAGACAGGATGGCACTTGAGCTCCGTGCCCGTCGTCAAGGTGCTCAGGCACCAGCTCTGGAGAAAGGTTCAAATTCTAGCTTCACCTCCTATTAGCTGTATAATCTTGGGCACATACCACCTTCTCTCTCTGACCCTACTTCCTTACATGTGAAGTGAGGATAATGATCTCCACTCTACAGGGTTTTTACGGGGCAAAATGGAGATGATACATAGCACAGAACGGGAGCTGAGCGAGCACATGATAAATACTGCAACTGTTACTCAGGGTGACTGGATTCTGAAACTGAGGGATCCAGCTAGAGGCTTTAGTTAGGCTCCTTTCTGATCCAGCCAGGCTATAAACTCTGTTTACATAAGAATGGCTCCCAGCTGTGGGGAAGAAGGAGGGAGAACACAGTTCCCACTACAGGGTGTCAGCTTCTCTAGCAGAGAACTTCCCCCAAATATCTGCCCTTGTGTGACTCTCCCATGCTTAAAGGTCTGGACAGCATGCCAGGGTAATGATCACCCACTCCCCTCCCTGACCGGAATGCACATGTGGCAGGAGATGTGGCCCAGGAGGTTCCAGGCAGGATACACGTGATTGCAAGATAGCCTATATGTGTTCTCGATGATGCCCTCTTCACTGACATCCACAAAGATCTGCTGCCCACACACGGCACACACACTGTCCGAGAGGTGTTTGGTAGGCATGCCCGACTCGCTGTAGAACTGGGAGAGAAGAACAGGAGGAAAAGACAGGAAAAGTGTGAGAATCAGCCCAAGTAGGACGGTACCACAAAGGCCTTTGGGTCTTCTGAAGAGGAGGCCAAGCAGCAGGGGGAGGAGGCCCCACAGCTACAGAACATCTTTTATAGGCCCAATCACCTCATCTGCTGGGTGGATAGGGAGAAAAGGACAGACCATTGATGGGTTAGGAGGTCAGATCTAATAGGACTTGGGCACTGGGCTGGTCAGCACCAGGGACAAGGAGACCAGGAGGTAGAAGGACTCAGGGCTGGTGATCAGGACCTATGTCAGATAAGCCACTCTGTGGCCACACTATGTTTCCATCAGAGATGAACAACATCTCTTCTCTAAGATTCAAAACAGTCAAATATCCAGTGCAATGTTGGTTTGGTGACAAGGGCATTCCCAAACATCTGCCGCAGCAACAAAAGAAGTTTGATCCTTTTGAATAGCATCTGGCATGATGTCTCAAACTGCCACACACTTTGACCATTCATTAATGTCATTTCAAGTAATTTAAAGAAGTAAAAATATCAAAAAACTTCAGGTATACAGATATTTATTTAGGTATTATTTATCATTAAAGAAGAGTTTAGCAATTCCTCAATAACTTAAACAGAATGATCGTATGACACAACAATTATTACACCTTACATTTTAGTCATAAAAATCATGAAATTCTGGTCTCAGTGGTTTAGCATCTCCTCCAGCCCAGGGCCTGATCCTGGAGACCCGGGATCGAGCCCTGCATCAGGCTCCCAGCATGGAGCCTGCTTCTCCCTCTGCTGTCTCTGCCTCTCTCTCTGTGTCTCTCATGAATAAATAAATAAAAATCTTAAAAAAAAAAATCATGAAGTTCTGATGCATGCTACAATGCATGAACCTTGAAAACATTAGGCTAAGGGGATCCCTGGGTGGCGCAGCTGTTTGGCGCCTGCCTTTGGCCCAGGGCGCGATCCTGGAGACCCGGGATCGAATCCCACGTCAGGCTCCCGGTGCATGGAGCCTGCTTCTCCCTCTGCCTGTGTCTCTGCCTCTCTCTCTCTCTGTATGACTATTGTAAATAAATAAAATAAAAAAAAGAAAACATTAGGCTAAGTAAAACGTCAGACACCACAGGACAAATATTATATGATTCCATTGATATGATGAAATACATAGAATCAGGCAAATTCATAGAGACAAAAAGTAGGCTAGAGGTGGCCAGAGGCTAGGAGAAGGGAATGGGGAGTTATTGCTTAATGGGCACAGTTATTGCTTGGGATGATGAAAAACTTTGGAAACGGTGATAGCTGCACAATATTGTGAATGTAACTAAGCACTGAACTGTACTTTTAAAAATGGCGAAAACAGTGGGTTTTAGGTTACATAATAGAAAAACCCAAAAAATAATAAAAAACAGGCAAAGAAATGGAAATAACCATGCATGACCCAGAATAGGAGAATGTCTAAATAAATTTGGTACACACTCAAGGGACTTAACTGGTGAGTTCACTGAAGGCTGAGATGTAACAATAAGTGGCAAAAAGTAGGGACAAAACTGGAGGCACAACATGATTGGTGTTGTATGTAAAGACAAGCCCAAATCTATACAAGAGAAAAGATCAGAAAGAAATATCAGTATGTTTACGCCACTGATGTTTTGGCAGTAGGATCATAGGTGATGTGGTTTTTGTGCCTACTTTTCTGTACTCAAATTTTCTTTAATGAATATATATTACTTTTAAAGATTATTTATTACCATACTTAATTACAACAGATAACCAATTCCATGCTCCAAAAAGAAATTACAAGTTTTGCATAATTTCCTTGTGGTTTATTGTTACATAGTTAAATAGCATTTCCCCCTTACTCCAAGGAGAAAAAGACTTGAAATTTATTTGTTGACATTTTCTAAGACCTACTGTTTTTCCCTTTCCTTTGCCTTAAGAACTGTGGTCTAGGAAAGTGTCTGTTAGGCTCCTAGTTTCTGGAGTTCTCCCCATGAGGCTAAAACATGGCAACAGGCAGGCAGGGTCAAATCCCACAGTGTTTCAACAGAGCCATTGGGTAAGCTGTCAAATCATGAAGGCCTCGCACCCCCAGGGCTCACAGAAATCACACAGGAAGAGACTGTATCAGAAGACACTGAGGCCAAGCTGGGGAAGATACAGGGAGGCCGGACCCCTCCATAGAATAAGCTCAAGGGGGACCTATGGTTTATCTGCATCGGGCAGACCTAACTGCAGTCTTCTGTCACTTACTAGCTTGATGAACTTGAGCAAACCATCCAGATCCTTCCTTCCTTCCATCAAATATATACTGGGTACCTACTAATATATACTGGGTAGCTACTAATATATACTGGGTAGCTACTAATATATACTGGGTACCTACCTACTAAGGTAGGCATAGGTATATATATACCTACAAATATGTACTGGGTACCTACCTACTAAGCAGTAGCAGGCACTGGACTAGGGGAGTCCAGTGGGATATAATGCTGGAAGAAGAGAGACTCGGCCTCTCTCCTATGGAACCTACAACTACAGGAGAATGACAGTAAAGGGCTAAGAAAGGGGTTGCTAACTAAGCCTAGGTGCTGTGAAGGGGCTTCTTTGAGGGCGTGACATTTGAGGCTGAGAGGTAAAGGGCAGTGGGAGTTAGTGAGAGGAAGAAAGTCAGCAGGAAGAAGGAAGAGGCCACAAAGCAGAAAGGAGCCTGGTGGGCTTGAGAAACTGAAAGGAACCTCATGTGGCTAGAGTTGTGACAAAGAGGAAAACAGTAACACCTTATTGGCCACATGAAGAATTTTGGACTAGAAATGGAAAGTCACTGGAGGCATCTGAACAGACTCAAATTTTTAGAAGATCACTCGGTCTGTGTGAAAAATGGGCTGCAGGGGGGGGGGCCAACATGGATTCAGAGAGCAGCTAAAGTCTCTGTTTTTTAATTCTTTAAAAGCAAGAGATGTTGGAGATCTGGGCCAAGGTGGCAGTCTGGGCTAATTTAATGGCAATAAAAATAGAAAGGTGTAGACAGACTGGTGATGCTAAACAGCTGAAAACTAAAGATCTGGTAGAAAAGTTCTGGATTAGAGGTCATAGAAAGTCATAGAAAAAGTCATAGAAAAAGAAAGTCATAGAAAAAGTCATAGAAAAAGAAAGTCATAGAAAAAGAAAAGGGAATGCCTAGGTGAAGTGCAGAGAAGGTGCTTTAGGTCTGAGCTCAGAGGAACAGTAGCATTCACGGGGAGGAAGAGTTAGTAGAGACAGAAGGAAAAGCAGGATACAGAAACATTGCAAAAGCCAATGACAACTGCTGAAGTCAGAATGAGTGACACAGAGTCACTGGTGACCTGAGTAAAAGCCATTTCAGAAGAAGGTTTGAGCCACACCAATTTAGAATAGGCTAAAGAGTAGGTGAACGGTAATCAAAAGGAGACTGGACTTTCTCTAAGTTTAGCTGTGAAGCACAGGAAATGACTCAGTAGCTAGAGAAGAAAGAGGGTCAAAAAAAGTTTTTTGAAAAAGAATGCTTAACAGGTTAATGGGAAGAGCCCAGAAAGAGGGAGAAGATGAAGGCACAGATAAGAAAGTTAAGTATATAGCATAATGGGTCCCGGAGAAGGAAGAAGGTATGGAGTCCACAGCTAGGGCAAGGTGGGCTTGTGATGGAAGAAAGGACCTTTTCTACAGTGTAACTGGAAGGAAGCAGATGATGGGTACTAATATGTGAGTAGAAAACCCCAGCACAGGAGCCTGCACATAGGAACTCAGGAAATAAAGAGGAGTTGCCTTCCACACCACTGAACATCAGAGTGTGCACCATGAGAGCCCTGTGAGCTCTTCCAGTCAGCCCCTCCCTCAACAGGAGAGGACAGAGGAGGAGCAGGACAGCCTCACCTGAAGTCAGAGAGAACTGGTGGCAGAGCTGAGTTGGGGCCGCATCAGGCTCAAACAGATGATTTTGAAAAAACTTGTTGAAAAACAGAATAAAATACCCATTTCTCAGGGTTCTAGGACACAAGATTCCAGGTCACAGAGTGGTCTGAGATGACTTCAAACAACAGACAGCCTCCAAGAGAGAAGTGGCATATACTGGCGATTAAGGATTTGTCTGTCCTGTGTCTTGCTCCGTGTGTTGGGTATGATGAAGATACAAAGAAATCCTATAGGGTCTCTGTGCTCCAGGTGACTATAAATATAAAATATATAGCTTTCTAGAAGAGCAGTATTGTACAATAGGTATACTTGATAAATGTTAGCTACCGTCATTATCCTCTCCTTAAGTGCCATGAGCCAGGCTACTCTGCAGAGATCTTTACAAGATGCATTTACTCCTTACAACACTTTATGTCTGGTAATGTTATTACACACAAGAAAACGAGATCAGAGAAGTAAAGTAACTTGCTCCAGAGTACACAGCTAATTAAAAATGGATTAGAATTTGAAACCAGGTCCATCTGACTCTAACCTCTGGCTTTTGCTGCTACTTCAGAACAGATGGAATGGGCAGCTAGTTATGTCCTAATGTTATCTGGGGTGCAGAAACTCAGAAGAAAAAAAGTGTGAGGCAGGACATGTGGCCCAATGGAGCACAAACTATGCGTCACTACTCTGTCTGCCCAACAGGTCTCTTTGAAGGAAGAGCCCCATAAAACAAGCTTATTTCACAATCCTCTGTCCTCCACCCCCGCCCCAACATGACTTTTGGATGTGAATGGAAACTATAATGACTGGCTGTCACAAGCTTATGACCTCCCAGTGACTGGCTGAAAAAAAAAAAAAAAAAAAAACAAACATCATCTAAGGTTCCTTTAACCGAAGAGTTACTATAGTTCATATTATAATTTCTCCATGTAAGACAAAGCAGCTATAGTGTAGAATTACCAGAGTAGTGTAGAATAATGAAAAGGAATTGAGAATGTATGTTGATACAATTGTAAACCCCATCATTTCATTTCTAGGAACTCTGAAATTAATTAATCACAGATCTGTGGG